TGAACCTTGAGGACACAGCCTTGAAGATGTGTACTGGTTGGTATTCTGACCCAGCCACTGAGCTGCTATGAGTCTGATTGATGCTACTGTGCAGCGGCCCTACCATCTGGATAAGGGCCTGGCCTGGACCTGCATGTTGGCAGAGAGTRGCAGGGTATGATCAGCTGAAACTCCCAAAAAGCTTTTTCTGGGTGTTGTGATGTTGAGCCCAGTTGGGTGAAGTCATGCTCAAATTACTCAGAGCTCAGCAGTGCAGATGTGATTTGTCTGGGTGTCCTGGGAGCAGCATATCCACCCATGTCATGCTGCTGGGCAGCTGGCAATCCACTTTGGGACCAAGCTGCAGCTGGTCTTTGCCTTTTCTCCCGTTCTCCAAAGAGGCAGGGGGACACAAAGGCCCTGTGTGGGTGAAAAGGGAGATTGCCAAAGCAAACTGTGGTCTGTCAGCTGGTGGAAGTGGGAACGGCGGGTACAGGATGTCCTTACCAGGGTGTGCTGTTTGTAGGACACAGCTGACCTTTCTTGTCTTGCACTTAACTCACTCTTACTGCATGGCCTTCATCGAATAGCAGTGCTGAAGCATCTTGTTCTTCTGCTGTTTTCCTGATGACCTTTCAAGAGCCAGGGAGGGCCCTTTCTGGTATCAACACCAGGAGCATGAGTTGGAAACTCTGCCACAGCCCACATCCCACAAATTTCTGAGATCAATACACACAAGGGTGTGTATCTGACCTACTTAAAGCAAGAAAACAACCAGTAGTGGGTTTTTCTTCTCAAAACCCCTCAAACCTATTACAGCATTTCCTTTGAAGCCTGTGCAAGTCCAGAAGGGCAATGGTTATCATCAAAAGGAGACAGACTTCCCTCGTGTCCAAACAGAGCASATTCAGACAGGCAAGAACCTGGATCGTGACCAATACTGATATCTGGTTTGGCAAAACTAAAGTCTACCCTTTCCTGGCCCCGGATTTGTCCATCTCTATTTATAGCCTGTAYTCTGAGCCTTGCTGAAAAATGTATTATATATTGACAGTGGCACTTTGTGAACTCAGAGCTACTGGCTCCAGAAATAATCACCTTTGAGATTATTATAGTCTTAACTTTTGCATATGTTGAGTCTGACATTTGCTTTGCACAGCTATGAATGACTGTTTAAAACACAATGAAGTAAAGTCTGAAATGCAGTATTTGTGATTTAACAAGCTGGAGAAATGGGTGGTGGATGTAAACTGTGAGGAGACAGTGCAGCAGTGTGTCTTGGACTGAGCCCTTTTGTTAGAGCTGCAGTTGGTCTCTGGAGAGCTGAGGTGAGAGCACATGGAGCTGAGCTCTGCTGGTTTAGGAACCTCATTTCATCTCTGGGTCACTGCATGGTCTTTTGCCCTCTGAATCTCTCTGCATCCTTTCATTTAAGACAGGGCTGGAGACATCTTCCCCTTTTCACCCAGAGCTTGGAGACAATGGCAGATGGGCCCTTGCAGTCATTAGAAGATGCCTGATTTGGTACCATCCACAGCTCCTGCCAAGCCCCAGCTGTGCCCCTGCCCATGGGGCRTTTTGGGAGCCTGAGTGGCGCCTTGCCCACGGCCCTGGCACCCCAGGGGAAAAGCTGCCTTGCTCTTGGCAGGTGTGAGATGGTGGCTTGCAAAATCATTTCCCAGTTTCCACTGTCTTTTGAGAAGATAATTTCCTTCTTACTGTCAATAACATAAATCCCRTAATATGGTTAGTGCACAGGAGACCAGTAAATAATTTAGGAAGCAGCCTATGTTTAGAGTGCATCAAGTACTAATATAGAGAAGGAAAAAGTCCCCGCACATCAGTTACAGTAATTGGTGGAAGGCACCAGTCCGAAGGGTAATGAGCTCCATTTTTAAAACACGAGGAAATTAGATTTTTATAAATGTCAAACGCAGTTATTGTCCTCCTTCCTTGAAACAGAGCTGAGCTGGCTGGAGCCCATTGTCTCTCAATCAGCTTTGCTATGGATTAGACACATCCCGTCTCACACCAGGAATGTGCTTATTAGAAAAATATCACTGCACAAAGCATACAAACTTTAACACTCAACCCATGTACTAATGGATACATGTACAATAAAACCCGATATCATGTTACAAGCCTTAAGCTGACCTTAGATAATAAGATACAGAAATCTGAAAGGATACAGATGAGTGCTCTCTTTGTGTGCMACAATTCTGACTACCTGGGATTTTAGTTTTCAAATAAAGGAGATGAAGTGAGGGAAGGTGACTTTTCCTCTTGGCTGCTTATGAAAAAAAGAAAGCARTAAGTCTTCTTCATAGAGAAAATGCTTGTAATCAAGTCATGTCCAAATATTTCATGTATTTTACTGGTGTCTCCTGGGTAACTGCGGTTTCACAGAGGACTTTGTCGATCTGCCATTTTTCAGTTCTTTCCTGGAAAAAAAAAGCAGGAGGTGGTTATTTGTTTATACATCAAAGCTAGCTCTGTGAATTAGTCTTTCATTCATAATGAATGAAAATGTCGCCAATACGTGTTAAGACACCACACTTCAGAAAATGGCTATCAGTTGTTTCGGAAGAGTAAAATGTGAGGARAATAAAGGGCTTTATAAAATTGACCCTCATTTTATTTATTTAAATTTGGGTTTATAAGCTAAAATGAAGCCAACTGTCAGAAGAACACAACGGGAGGATCTTACAAATATCTTTAAAGCCTTGGACACCATGAAGCAAATTAAACTAGTTTTCTGTGACTTTGGATAACTTTTAGTTCTGATAACTTTCCTAAATGTCTGTGCTACAGCTGCATCAACCCCTGTAAATTAAGTAAAGAAACAATTCAAGGCATCACTGATGTAGTCTGGTAGTTAAATGGTAATCAACAGCTGGTGATTAAAACATCCATATGACTCAAATGGCAAATCCAAAGTCAGCATTTACATTCCACCAGCCTCATTAGCTAGGCACTCTATTTAATTGGTACTCCAGTGCAGTGTTATTAGTTGGCCCTTCTGGGGCAGGGATGTGAAGTGCTGCTGCCTCCYTGGCTGCCTCTCCCTGGGGAGCTCTTGCTTGCTGTGGTGGAGTCTCTTCTCAGCACCAAGCACGGTTTGCAGTGCTCAGGTCAAAGCAGGTTTGTCCTGCTAAAGAGAGTTCACACCCATTTTGGTGACGGGTGTGAGTTTCTCTCATCACAGCGATTGCTGCCCATGCATGCCCAGTCCCATCTCATATCACAATTGTTGCACATTCCTGATCCCAATGGGTCATGAGAAGCTTTGCAACACATGAGGCACCTTCATTTAGTGTCTGCAGGCTGCTCACATTTTACACATCTTTGCTCTCTCAGGTGTTGTTCTGTGGTCCAGAGAAGCTTTTGTGTCTCCCCTCAGAACGTGGGTATGGTGGTCCTCTACCACAAAAACATCCACAGCTCTGCTGATGCTTCTGCTTGTGGAGTTGAAGTTGGGGAGGAGGGCAGGARTTGTGTGGGCAGTGGGTGCATAGCAAGGACAGCCACTGGCTTCATTTCCTCTGCAAGCCCTGACAGCTTCTGTTGGGAGCACCTGCTCAGCTGCACATCTCAAAAGGCTTTCTCGGTGTTTTGGTTCTGGAAGCTGCTGGAGGCTTTAGATTAACTGGAGATAGGTGACCATGCAACAGGCTGGGTGAACCTGGTTTTTCTTGCGATTTGGCCTTCAGCCTTAAATAATCCTGTCTGATGGTTTTATTTATTTATTCTAACCACCTGTGACTGGTGTCCCTGTTGTGAGTTTGCTTGTCTGCCTCATGTCGGCACAAAAGACTGAGTCTGTTCTTGGAATGGAGCCTTGCTTTATAATGCTGCATCTCTATTWCTCCTTATTAAACATTTGCTTTCTTCTTCRGGGTCTCTTGACCCTTATGCTTGTAACACCTGCACTGGGGTGGACCCAGTGTAAGACCCACTGGGCTTCACAGACAAAAGGAATCATTCTGCTGTCAGTGTACAGATGTTATGGAATGTTGTCATGTTTGTACAGCAGCAGTTTTCCAATATTACCTCAGCTGTTCCCTGTTTATTTTTAAAACATCACATGGATGCAATTGTCATTATAAACGTAATTTTAAAGAATGCTGGAGATAAGGCAACAAGACTAAGAAAGATGAAGCATTTCTACTAAGCCTGGAGACTCTTGAGTGCCAGGTTTCTGCCTGAAGTCATTTTAGCATCAAGTGAAAGACAGAGGAGCAAAAAAGAAGTGTTAATTGTAAAGGGCATGCTGCAGGCTCACTCCAGTCTGTATGCCAAAGCCTTAGATGGGAGTTTGTGTAGGGAGGATGAAATGAATCCCTTGGTATCAGGAAGCCCCTGGATACAGTTCTGAGTTGCAGCACAACCCATCAAAGTTCTCCAGGTGGCACAAAGATCTGCCTCCATCTTCACAGGTTTCAACAGAAGCACCTACTTTAACAGTGTGCTTGTCCAAGATTTTTGAAGCAAGGTGGCTCAAACATGCAAGGTGAACTGGTGTCTAGTGAAACTGCAAAACCATTAGGAGCTTGAATGTTTCCCCTTGAACATGAGAGGATTTTCTTTTTTCTTCTACTGAAGAGGAGCTTTTGGTAGAGCTGCCACCTCCATGGCTGGCAGAACCACCTTTGTGTCTGAGCAGAGCAGAAGGAATGAACTTCACTCCTCTGCTGGTGCTTTTTCCATCCCAAATCCAAAGGACGGGATTTGGAAGAGGATATTACTGTGCAGAGGCTTTGGACCCCTCATCTGTCCCCCCTGAATGCTGCATGGCTCAGGTGCAAAGACAAGAGCCTAATCTCTGCCACTTGCCAAACCATCCCACTCAGACCACAGAGGCTGCTGAAGAGAGGTGGGGAACTATGGTGGGCAGGGCCACAAAGGATCCTGCCATGCATCATTGAAAGGCTTAAATTCTTATTAATCGTATGTATTTCTGGCAGGTTTTTAAAAAAAATTTCAACAGTACAATATGTTCTTAATAACTTTGTTTTAAACAGGTTGAAGCCATGAAGAGAGTACTGGAAAGTCTCAACCTTAATATAGTTGAGATGACAGATGAAAAYGCAACCTTGGATGGTGGGGATGTCTTGTTTACAGGTAGAGTGATAGTGAATTTGCTRTTTACATGTTCTGACTGCCTTAAAGACTGCATGGTGTCTGATACCAGMAAAATAAAATGTCATTCCTATGGTTTATTAAATGGGTTGTTTACTAAATGTCATAAAGGTAGCTGAGAGATGAGTTCTTAGTGCAACCCTCAATGTCCTGCCTAATTCCTGAATAAATGGAATAAATAGAACAGTACATACACTACAAAGAACAGCACTGTGCATACAGATTTTATTTTAGCTTGTTAAGTGCCAGTAAGAAAAATGCTTTCAGTAGTCAGCTGTCTGGGGTTGTTTCATATTTCTTATAACGAGCAGCTAACGTTCACCAGACTCATTTTCAGGACTTGTAAAAGCTTGATGCAGACAATTGTCACTAGTTCAATGTATTAAATGAAAAAAAAAAAAAGCATTTTTAGGTTACCAAGAAAGTGGTGGAGTTGCCTGTCAGATGTCATGAGCCAGACAGCTTACATGCATGGTTGACTTCAAAGATGAAGATACTGCCTGTGTTTTTTATGTCATTAAACCCATTAGGCTTTTTCTCACATTGGCTGCACACAGGGTCGCTCCCCGCCCGTGCTGAATGAGCCTGTTTGTTTTGATCAGCATCACAGTCCACTGGCTGCTTGCCTTGCATCACCACGGGCAAGGAAGGGTCTCAGAAGAGGCAGACCACGAAGGGACRCCTTTCCAAGGCAGTGCAGATCCTGCACTGATTTTCTCTGGTGCTGGAGGGTGCCAGTGACTGCAGATCTGCTTTGAGACCAGAGGAAATCTCAGAGGGAGAGGGAAATGGTCAATCAGTGGTGYACTAATCCAGCCCAGCTGCTGTCTTTCCTGACCCAGTGACCACTGCAGAGATTTAGGAAAGGAAGCTATTTACGCTTCTGGTGAAATGTGTCTTCTGGAAAAAGATTAATTGCTTTAGATTATCAGCTTGCAATTGCACGTTGCATTCTTTTATGCTGAATTTTCAGTTTAACTGCTCAGATTGAGAAAAGAAATATAGAAAATTAAAATCCATGAAAGATTGCTTCAGAACRTCTCTAAAGCTGGTCTGCTTTTTTCATTCCAGGCAGAGAGTTTTTCGTAGGTCTTTCCAGGCGGACAAATCAACGTGGTGCAGAAATTCTGGCTGACACATTTAAGGTTTGTAGATGCATTCATGCCACAGGAAATACAAGCTGTCATTCACTGAACTAAACAATTATACTCTCCAAGATGTTTGTTGTACTCATGTACTTAAGACCTAATTTTAAAAAATACTAAAGGTACAAGTTGCTGAAAAGGTTTGAGCATGCTGTAAAGTGATAGATGCTGAAGTTGGATCTGAAATGTGAGATTGCTGCATAAAAATCAGTTGGATAGTGGGAGGCTGTTATTTTTTGAGAGCTTATAAACACTCACATTCTTCATGTTYTCATGTATCAGCCCTGTGTTCCTATTGCCGGTCCCTGGAGAGGTTTTATGTACATATTCTTTAATTAAACATTTTTATGTATTTCTTTATAGTTGCAACAATAGTAATATTTGAAACATGTTCTGGATTTTATGCCAGTCTCCAGACAAGACAGGCGRGTCCAGAGGAGAGTGCCATACTTAAACAGTTGACACTGTGCCCTGGGGTTGATAATTTGCAGAGAGTAAAATTAATTATGGAATGTGTCAATATAATTATGGAACTAGGACACTTTAAAAGTATTCACAGCACTATTCTTTACTCCCATACAGGATTATGCTGTCTCCACAGTCCCTGTTCATGATTCTTTGCATCTGAAGAGCTTTTGCAGCATGGCTGGACCAAACTTGATTGCCATTGGATCAAGTGAAGCTGCACAGAAAGCCCTCAAGGTAAAGCACATCAGAGAATTTTCTTAACCTCAGCTCTCTTTCTGGAATTTTTTTGTTTTAATATCTGCATCAGGATGATGGAATTTTAAAACAGATACAGATCAATGCAAGAGGAAACAATGAGTACATGTTAGGGTCTCCTGTGTGTCCAGGACCCCTCTCCCTTCATCACCTGCCTGCAAAGTTAAGTGCCTTCCTGGTCACAGTGTTCCTGTYTGGTCCCATGTGGGTCTTGTAACAGCTTGGCTTCAACAGGAAGAACAGAGGAGTCTCTGGCCAATAGTTTGAGTCTCTGAACATTTTCCTATGAAGTGGGAGGTGTGGATTTGAACCAGGCTGAGGCCTCGTGTATCTGAGTCTCTCTTTACTGGCAGACATGAAACCAGTAATGCATTGTGTAGCAGGTCAGTGTTGTGCTGTCACCATCATCCTCAATGGGAAATGTTTATTGCAGTTTGCACTGGGCTCTTGGCTTTCCTGCCTGCTGGGTGTGTTTGGAGCAAATTTATCAAATTAAACTTCATCAGAGATGTAGGCACTGAGGCCATGAATCTCATTATGCTTACAGGAAATAGTTCCTGGAGGGGTCAGCATCTCTGCATCTGCAGGGTACCACAGCTGAGGCTCCAACACTTTACWGCAGAAACTTTGGGCACCGAAACAGCAAAGGGCATTTGGGACTTTTTTRATCAGGATTTGCTTAAAAGGTTAACCAAAMRTTACTTCTTAGTTATGGCAGCAAKTCCTGAATTTTCAGCTTCTGATTATRCTGAATGATTCTTGTGCCAGTAAATAAGGACCTAAGTACACACGCTGCACTTTGGTTTTGCAGAAGCATCTTTGATATGCAACATGATCACTAATGCATGGAGGAAGCTGTGTGTCCCTAATAAGAAATGAGAAGTGGTAGAGTCTCTGCTGTACTAGTGAGAAAGCTCTTTGAAATCTGCTCTGTTTAAGTGCAACTTATGCAACCCAACTTGTATCTCTTGCCCTGGTTCTGAAGCATGAATTATTGTTAAGAACAACATTRTTGTCAGTACCCAAGGCACTGCTCCAGATCTGTGCCARGCAGAACATTTGCAGGAAAAATAGYGTGTAACTCCAAAAGCAACATCCCCAGTCCTCAAAGATCTTAGGAACCTACACTGYATGCCCCATACACCTCTTTGGTTTTAGTCAGCTAGTGATATTTATTACTTTAAAACATCTTTAAATATTTGCAAGATGAAGGTCTAACAGATTTCTTGTCCTGACTGSTGTGCTGTGATATTTCATTGCACGTTTGCTTTTCAGATCTTGAACATTTTCCTCATGGGCATAATCTTAGGACTTCCATTGTCTAGCAGCATCGCTTTTACTATCAGTGTTCAGCAGAGATTTACTGGGGCTTTTTTTCTTTTTTTAACTTGTGATAGTTCAGGATATAAAATGCCTCAGTCCCTAGCTATGACAAAAAGAACATTTCAAATCTCTGTCTCCCATGTTGGACATGGGTTGAGTTGTGGAGGCCAAGAGAGTGTAGTCTTTGCTGACTTACAGCCTGGCAGCAGTTAAGGTGAGAGGATCTCAGCCTGATTGCTACCTACACCTGAGCTTGGGGGTGCTCCTAAGCAAAAGGATGCTCCGTTGCCTTCCCGTGTAGTTTGGAGTGGCTTTAAGTTTGCTCATTCAATTCATTTGAACAAGCTGTCAAAGTTATTCTTGTACTGGAAATCACTTTGTGAAGCTCTGGGAGCACGTTTCCAGCTTCTCACCCATGACTTCTTCCCTGGGAAGCTTATGACAAATTGTTTTAGTTGTGAAGGTCTGATGTTCCTGATGCTGTGAGATTGATTTAGYCTGGGATGAAAAGTGCCCTGCATCTTTCCCTGTGAAATTTACACTGTCCCAAATATTCAGGCTCAAACTCAAAATGCATCATGAACAGCAGCCTGATGAAGCTTSCAGGTATCCAGCCCTACATTTGTATAGAGTGTTTATAAACATGAGGAAAATACTGTTTGCTTAATGCTGCAATTTGAACTTGAGCCAGGGCTAATCTGGGAACTCGTCAGTTTGATTAAACCCTTCTGCACAGCTCAGCTAATCGTGTTGCAGTGCATCAATTTAGCTATTGTAACAATTTTTTTTTTTTTGTTTAAGTTGATCAAATATTGCTGGTAACTAATAACCATCAAGTAAACAACAACATTAATCAAGGTAWGGTAATAAGCAGATACAGTTTTAAAATAACGTGGTAACTAACAAGATACTTTGGCAGTCTCTGATTGTTGGTGGATATATTTTTTAAAATAAATCAACTCTGTCAGTTTTCAGTGCTTTTCTCTGCACTTTAAGCAGTAAGTTTGCATATGCCTGAGGGTAATGTTTGTTTGCACCATGCCACCTGACCTTAGGGACTCTGGCCTGGAACAGGATTTTGTCCCATAGCACGTGCCCTTCTCATGCTCCTAGAGATCTGACAGGTTACATCAGGCAGCCGTGTCACAGCAACATATGGAGTTACCCAGAACGTTTTCCAGGGATCTGGATCTGGCTGTTTCTCCAGCAGTCTAAATCTCTTCAGAGAAATTATTGGCAAACAACTGGGTGCATTGTCTGTGTTGGAAATGATGGCATTTACAGTGCTGCAGATCACCAGTTTCCCCTAACACTTGAATTTTTGCTTTTTGACAATATATTTGTATTTGTTCACTTGCCTCCAAAGCAAAAAGAAATTCAGTTGGCAATCACCTTGTTGGAGTCTTATGGAAATGCACGTGCAAGAGGATTTTTGAGGCACTGACACTTGGAATTAAGAGCTGCTCCCTGGATTTCAGCGGATCAGCTGAGCTGTAGCAGTGCTGTCGGCTGTTCTGCTGTTACCCWGCACAGTCCCCTGAGCTTCTGCAGAGTCTGCTGCCTGGCACAGCCCAACATGCCACTCCTTTGTTGTGATAGCTTGTTATTTTAAACCCATCCTTAATGTTGGCATTTTTCATGACTGGAAGTGCAATCATACAAGCAAGATGATTAAGCTGTCTTTAACCATCTCTGGTAATTGAGTTGTTTTCGTGTCTTGTTAGGCAACTGCTAGCAGTGAACTGCTACATCATGCTATGCTAACATTTTACATTTAAAATAGGGTTTATCTTCTTACTAACARTCTTGTTTGAAACAGAATTTTTTCTTCATTGTTCATACTAGTGCAACTTATGTATCCTTACAATACTTYAAAAATAGAAAAAGAAATTGCATCTGGTGCTCGCATATGGCCAAGTGCAATTGATCGTGAGTTTAGTGCAGTATGTGTAACGTAAAGCGCTGCAAGCAAGCTGGGAAATGAATCCACAGAGTTTAGGATAATAGACCACATGCTAGAAGCAGATAATAAATCAGACATGACATTTTAACCATTAAATCCTCTTCAGGTTCTGGCAAGTGTAATGTATTTATTTGGACTGGAGCTGAAAAGTGGTACTTCAGGAAACTTGGTGAAAGAAAGAGACAAATTAAGTGCAGAAAGTACTGAGGCCTCTAGTGACTATCACATCTGAAACTTTACCTTCCCTCTGCTGTTTTCAGCATGCAATTAATTCCTTCTTGTAGTTAAACCTGTTTATAATTCCGTGCAAGTAATTCCATATTTGAACACTGGCCATGGTTTTTGAGACGATGAAGCCTGGGATTATTTTTCAATTCCCTTGGTGCAATCAGGATTTCCTATGAACATGTCACCTTTGGGCTCTGATCCTGCACTATCAGAGCTGCTGACCTTTACTGTGAGGGGGAATGAGGACAGATTTGGGCTGTGACAGTGCCAGTCCMAGTGCAGGGAGGTGATGTGGCAGTGCTGCAGTGAACTCTCTGCACCTCTTTTCCCCAACAAGGGACACAGCCCTGGATCTTGTTGGGACAGCAGMAGAGCAGGAACTGGCCCAGGACACAGTTCAGGCTCCAGCAGCAAAGGCAAAAGCTAGGCAAGGTGATGATGGGAACTGTGGTACAGCATCTCTTGCACACTCCTTTCTRTATTCTCTTGCTCAATACTAAATCCAGAAAAGCCACATTTGTGGCCATTTCTGTTGTTTCATACAGAGCAGTTTCCCTCCACTTTGTGATGAGTGAAGACTTGGACAGCAGCAGATGATTGTGGACACAGTCCTTGATCAAACCATCTCTGCCACCCTTTGGATAACTCAGTAGCAACCCCAAAGGATCTGAGGGTTGCACATGCTGTTCCTGGCTTTGACAAGCTCAGCTATTCCCTTGCAAGCAGGATGGATTGTATTTGTAGCAAGTTCCTGCTAATAAAGATGTTCTCTCRTCTGTTGAGAAATGAGTCTGTGCTCTGGGCAGGCTCTGGTACCAGGCATTCACCAAAGGACCAGCCCTAGGCTCTCCCTATAGGACTGGTAGAGAAAATCTTGGTGAGAACCCACTGATCTGGGGTGATTCAGGGTGCCTGGTGATTGYAGATGGGTTTTGGAAGGGAGCAGAGGGCCTGGAAGGAAGGCAGGAAACCCTGCATGGTGGCTGGGGATGAGGGCTGCAACAGGGAGGGCACTCATCCCACCATATGGCCTGAGCCTAATCCTGCAGGCAGCTGAGTCTGGCATAGTCCCTSTAAGATCTGGAATAATGAATGGAGTGGCCTGTGAAACATCTGGGGTTTCAGCTGCTCATTAGAGAGGAGTGGATATTAATTACAGAGGCAGTGTGGCCATGGCAGATGTCAGCACTGAGTGGCATGGCCAGGTCATGCAGCTGATCTTGTAACCCCTCGTGTCCCCTCACAGACTTGTCCCCTCAGGAGCCAGAGCAGTGGTGACATCTGCACTTCAGTGCTGGTCTTTGGAATCCTGGAGTCCAGCCTCCTCACTCGATGGGATTTCTTTATKGTCAGGAGTGTATTGGGCAGTGCCATGACTTTTAGCAAATTCTTTCCTTTTTCCTCCTGCTTTCAATAAAAGCTTAGGCATAATTGTTCTGCCTTGTTCTGGATTCTCTCATTCAGT